CCCCGTCCCTCCCTAGCGCGTCCGCGGCACGGGCCGGAGCCTTCCCGGGCCGCAGGTGCTGCTCAGGAGTGCCCGGTGGCAGGCAAGGCTGAGATGTTTGTCTGGGAATCGGGCCGAAAAGGCGTGAAACAAACAAGCAGGAGCCGCAGTCTATACCTACGCTGGAAAACGTGTATGTGTGCGTGTGTGCACACATATATGAACTAAAGAAACCAAGACAAACCCCTCAAACAAACAAACAAAACAACCCAGCCCCAAAAAAACCCACCCACCCCCTCAAAGCCTCAAACATGTCGTGGGCTTTTATTTGCTACTAAGTACTTACATGGAAAAAGCAACTCTGTGACCTCAAGGCAAGCAATGAAAAAAAAAAGGAAATTGAATTCGTGACATTGAAAGCTAGCTACATCAATGGCTTTTGTGGTCTCACAGCCAGTATTTTACAAATTTGTTTCAGTTTCTTTTTGTTGCCTCCTTCTTTTTTTTTTCCCTCCCCTGAGAAAATATCGTTAACCCTGTTTTTAAGCACAGAACAAATCTGTGGAAATTAATGTTCATTGGTCTCACCTGTTGTGGAAAATCCACTCCCTCAGCCTCTTCAGGTTGTTTCATGTTATTAGCACCTAAATGTTACATTCAGCTATTTCATATACCACTGTCACCGCGTTCCTCCTACACGTCAAGTAAAAGGTTAATTCTTACTGGTTTTGTGTATTATGTGGTTTTGCTCCCATTACAGATACTGTGAATGAGCTGTCAAGTAGAAAGAAGAAAATACTTCATGAAAACTTTTGACTGGTCATTTCACAGTATTTTAACTCTTCCGAGAATCTCAGCTCCTTTTTGAGATACGTAAAGACAACATAAGTGCATGAACTTACACTGAAACATATGTTTAAAGTTGTAGTTTTTGCTGTTGACCAGATTATCTCGCTACGGTCTGCAAGTTAATGTGAGTACATCCTTTTGCTTCTAATACTTGGGTTTTTTTCTGTGTTCTTGAATAACTTTTAGAATCAAGAAGGAGAAAAAGACTTTATTTTTTTTTCTAAGCTAATGCATAGGCTTAATAACTCTTCCTGCTCTACACAGTAGCAAGGCAAGGGACCTTCATTGTGCTCAGATCTTGTGGCGAGAATATCTGTTCTTACCAGAGAAGTGTAGGCAGTGCTCTCTTCCTATTATTCCTGCTTATGACCTTTGTGGACATGACTAAGTCATGCAGATATTTTCACTCATTGTTAGCAGCTGTTTGGCACAGCTTGAGATTAATACTGTGGGAACCCTGAGTTTATGTGTAAATGGATGACTTCTTCCTACGGGTGTTCCAAGGACTGTTGCTCACATAGAGCTTTGATCAGATGACATGTTTCTTAAAATGCCTGTGGTATTTTATGTACTAATTTTCCCAACATTTCTGTCTCTGGTTACAGTGAACCACTGTTAACAATAGCAAATTTTCCCTACTGGGGAATTTTCCAATAATGGGGAAGTTTTCTAAAGAAGTACATGGAGCTACATCAACATTCAAGTTCTGTCACAAGAAGTCTTTGGGCAAATAGTTCTCTTTTTCCTGTCTTCTTCGTCTGATTGTGGGGGAAACATACAGCACCAATACCAGGGAGCATTTTGCACAGTGAATATCTTTTTGCTTTTATAAAACTGTTTGCCATAGATGTCAGAAGCTTGCACAAGGAGAGAAGGGACATTGTGGCAGGTTCTGTCAGAAAAAATGATGAGAAGATTGCAGCTTTGGTAAAGAACTTTGATGGGCATCTATGTCTCGAGCTGTTTCGTCCAATCCAGCCAGGGGGTCCTTCTGCTCAGAGTGAAGCAGGGGAAGGGTCTGTAATTGCTACCGCAGTGAGTTTTTTTCATGCGCATCTGGATTTGACCTGGACCTACTTTTTATCTCTCTGAAAGTGAAAAATTGAGTACAGCAGCAGTCTATCTCTGTCTTGAGGAGTTTTGTAAGTAATAGTAATTTTTTTGTGTGTGTGTAGCGAGGCTTGTTTTCTGCTACAGTGGGAGTAAGCAAGCAACTTACAGTTCAGCAATTGCAGGTTACAAGCTTGGGTCTCAGGACTATAAAATCTTACTTGTTGCCATCCGTCTTCCAGGATTTAACCAGAACAGCTCTCCTGGAGTTCATACTGATATTAAAATTTCCTGACAAAAGAGTGTGGGTATTGGTTGCATGCATGGCTATTGGTATCTTTCCATGACTGTGAAGCACATGCTATTTTTTCTGAGTAGTCTCTCAGCTACAGCCTCTACTTTGAAAGAAGTAGAAAGTATTTTGGGGCTGAGGATGCTACAACTCTGGTTGTTCTGGCATGGGGAGTACAGAAAGGTGTACACCTACACCCACTGGTCTCAGTGGCTCAGTCTTCTGCAGGTTTGCCTCTAGAGTAAGCATGTTCAGAGCACGCTTGTGAGATCAGTGTACCTCTGTCTTGTTGGAGAAGCTTTACTCTGGAGTTTAGTTGGTGCTCTGGACTCTGGGCTGCTTTTCACCCAGGCAGTGGCATCATGATTGAGGCACTCTGGAATGTACACATCACCAGAAACTCTTAACTACCTACACTATTAGGCAGCAATTTGCTAGTGCTGTTAAGAACATCATTTGTAGTTAAGGAATTAATTGGGTACGTAACTAGTATAAGAAGCTTGGAATTTCTTTGTCAGTTAAATAGTTTTTTATTCTCATGAGGATCTTACTTGTATTTTCCTGTCCCTGCTATCAGAACACCCTTCTGTAGTTGCTCATTCCTGCCTAACCATGTATTAGATTGAGTCCCTTTTTCAGCTCCATCTGTGTTGCCTTCTGCAAACCTGCTATTTGGATCAGGCAACAGCAACCTGAGGAAAAAAGCAGCTTGAGTGAAATTCTTATTGAGGACTCTAATTCCCTTAAGTGATAACACTGTAAAGGCACAGGTGTCTTATGATTCAGGACAATATTGTTGTTTTATTATCATCTTAAAGTTGACAGTCAGAGAAAGAAATGCAAAACTTCTTACTAAAAATGGTAAGAATTGCAGTTCAGATCAGTTAGGAAGTGTAAAAAGTGTTACAGTAGCCTAATTTCTTACACAAATGCTGAAACTACCACTAGAAAACAGTTAAAAGCAATCTTTCCTTATTTTTGCGTCTATTTGAGTATCCAAAATGAAGGTTTTATTTAGATAAAATTCTACTGTTCTCTACACTCACAAAAGAATTCCATTACAGTGAGTCTGAATTTTTCTTGATAGCAATTTGAAGAATGATGGCAGTATTTGATACTAGTATTGCTCTGACTTAAAATGCACACTTAGCAAGTTCAGTGGGCGTGTGAAGGTTAAGTGTATGAGCTGACATTAACAAGTGTTTTATAATGTTAGAGTGTTATGTAGGAGTAGAAAAGCTATGTCAATAGAGAGGGGGAAAACTTCTGACAGAAAATTGAACTAATTTAAATGTTCAGAGGTAAAACATCAGAATTTCAAGAAAATATATTTTGTTTGTAGGCTGACTTTTGTTTGTCATTGTTTTACAAAGGCATTATTGTGTAAGTACTTGCTAAGTGATTAATTACTGCATGAATTCTGTTCACAATATACATAACTTCATAAGCCCCGTGATAAGTACTGTGAGACCAGGTGTTATAAAACAGGGTATGTTCACAGTGTGTTAAAGTAAGGCAAATAGGTGGGGAAGAACTAAGTTCTATTTCTTCCACTGGATGTGTATGGAAAACTCATTCATTCCCCTAGCAGAAGCAACACTCCCTGCTACAGTTTAGGGGAACAACTGGGTGTTTGTCAGCATTTATTTAGTAACTGTCAGATAGTAACAGAACATGTATTTTGCTGTGAACAAGAACAAATATGTAAAGCAAATAAAATTAGATGTTCTTCCTGGGCCCATACAGCCCCATTTCTGCCTGATCATCTACTGCAGTTAAAGGTGCAATTTTGTCATGGTTTGGGCTAGAGAGGAGTTCAATGCCTGCTTTCCAGTTTGTTGTGTGGAGTGACTACAAAGTGTATTTTACAGCCCAAGTTAGAAAATGAGCAGATATTTATATTTGTCTATTGTTTTATCATTTTAGGTTCTGTTTACGTCATGGAAAAGCTTTTGCTTTTGCATACGTTTTTGTTCTACTGGCATTTCCTAAATGGTAAGAAGCTGAGTCATAAAGAGCAATAGAACTGCTGAAGTATGTTTCCTCTCCACGTATAAGCATAGAAATGTTAATTGCTCAGTTTTCCTTTGGGTGCTAGCATTTGGCATCTTTTCCTTACTGTTTTAAATAAATACTTCCTAGCAAGCTTCTACACTAAATTAGGTATGTATGCTTAGTACGTATGCTTTGATCCAGGACCAGTTTGAAATCCCTGTTGGTGTTTCAGCATAGACACCATTTCAGCCAACGTACCATTTATGTACAAAAAGTTTTATTAGCACTGGCAGACCTGGGAATTGTCATGTATCCTTCAACACTGTGTGTAAAAACAGCTTACGTTCATACAAAGAGAACATTCCCATCCCAGGTGCTAACAATTGCTTGTTTAACTTTCCTGAATAGGGCAGATGCTTTTGGTCCTTAAAACATCCTTATATAAAATTATAAACCTTATATGGCAAGACCTGGCTTCAAAGACTAGGCTTATAATTGGAAAATTAAGTTTTCTTCCAAATTATTTTTTTTTTTCAGCTTTATTCACAGTGGAAACTCCCCAGTCACTCTACACTGTGGAACATGGGAACAATGTGACCATGGAATGCACATTTCCAGTGACCGGAAAATTAAAATTTGGAGATTTAAGTGTCAGCTGGGAAAAAAAAGATAAGTTTAAAAAGCAGGTTTATGTGCTCCTCAGAGGAGAGGAAGACTTCAAAAGTCAGCACAGTGACTTTAAGGGAAGAATAAAACTGTTGAAAGAGAATCTGAAATGGGGACAGTCTCTCCTTCAGATCACTGATGTGAAGCTCAGAGACGCGGGGTTTTACCGCTGTGTTGTTGACTATGGTGAAGCTGACTACAAAACTGTCAATCTGAAAGTTAATGGTGAGTGCATTACTGCAGGGGGTGTAACACTATCTGACACTGTTAAAAGATTACAGAGGAGTCCCTGAAATAAGACAACTCTGGGTTAGCCCTTAAAGGAACGTCTCCAGAGACTGGAGCCACTTCATGGCCCTTGCACAGCTGTAGAACTGTTTCTGTGCAGGTTGAATCTGTCCTTTAGTTCCCACAATGGCATGTGAGGTATGGTGTTGCAAAACCATTTATACAAGAGAAAGACCAGAAAGCTAAGGCAATATTCTAAAGAGCATCACAATTGTAATAAATTTTATACCTCTGTTTACTATCGAGAGACACAATAGTGATATTTACTTTTTCTGTTGGGAGTATTACTTACAAAATCAAAGCTGATGTACAGAAACTTGACCCAGGGGCTGGAGATAAAGAAAAGGTGTCTGGCTAACACATGTTCTTCTAGTTTTCTACTAGCATCAATTTTCTTCCACATCTTTAGCTCCTTATAGAACTATAACCCAAGGAGTGGTGAGCACAGGAGACAATGAATGGAAGCTGACATGTCAGTCAGAAGGATACCCACAAGCTGAAGTGATATGGCAAAACAGAGAACATGAAGATTTGACTGATAAGGCAAACACAAGTTATGAAACTGGAACTGACCAGCTGTATCATGTGACAAGTACCCTTACAATCAGAAGTAAGAGTGATGAGATTTTTTACTGTATATTCTGCAATAAAGAGCTGCAAGAAAATACATCTGCCATTTTACACATAGCAGGTAACATTTCTAAATTTCGTTTATAGTAATACGCTTTAGGGTACTGTGTCATTTTGTCCCAGCTGAATAAGCCATGATTTGTTATCTTTCCTACCTAATTTTGAAAAGGCTAAAAAGAAATACTTATACTGCTGAGTTTTGCTATTAGTGTACACTTCCACCATACTAACACGTTCATCATGCATGTGTGGACAGAATTCAAGGATAGGAATTTTGTATGACCTCTGGTTATGTGAAAAATGAGTCTGAGTGTAAAAAAAAGTTCCATTATTTGAAAAGCATGTAGCATGGAGTCTAGAAATTAAACCTTCCCTTATAAATTAAATACATCTTCCAACAATGTTGTTTTGCTGATGATAATTGTCGAATCAATATGAACAATAGGGCCTTTTCCTGCCAGTACAGTGTTTGTTTTGAGTATATTTAAATTTACCAAGCTGTACACAGATTTTTTTTTTTTCTCTCTCATAAAATCTGGATGGAAGGAAGACACATGAATGGGGAATGCAATACAAATTCTCATTAAACCTTTTAACTGGGCACCACCCTGACTCCTTTTGCTTTCGGTTACTCTTCTAGTTTTTGCGTTGTACAAGAAAAGTTTGCACAAGCTTTCAACCAGGCTGGAGACCTGATCCAACTCAAAAATAATGTTTCTGTTTATCAAGCTATTACTTGGTCAGGTTGTTTCCCTGGTCCTGTTCACCATACAATTTTAAAAAGCTCTGTGCTGGCACACTTTTTGGGACTAACAAGGGGTGGAAACAGGCAGCTGAGAGAGAGAAAGCCGAGTCATCTTTTCAACAAGTCATGAGTGTGCAAGTTTGGTTTTAACAAGAAATGCTCCTGGGATTCAAGGAGGATTCACTTATCCTTTGCCTTCAGAGCTTTACCAGATGAAAGGGACTCTGTTGTCTTTCTCGATCAGCTGTTTCCTGTAGTCCTGATGGGACACTGATCTAGATGTAACACTTTGTACCTTGGTGACAAGCAGGATTTGTGACAGGAATTGAGGGCACTGTCCCATGGAATGCAGGAAGCAAAGAGCTATCTTTTTTTCCATTTGTTAGGATGAAATACAACGAAGTGCATCATCAGCACCTGACCTTAGACACAATCTTAAATGCTGTTACCATGTCTGAACTGCTCATAGCAAAAATAATATTGCAAAAATGAAAAGGGAGAAGTTTATGCAGTTATGAAATATTTTCCACTTGTTTTTCTTGAAGATTCAGCTGATGATGTTCTGTGGACTGAGAGCAGACGCTTCATTGGAGCAATTATCATTGTGACTGCTTGCTTTGTATCAGTGCTTCCTTTTTTGCTCTGCATAAGAAAAGGTACTCTATTTATTTCCACGTATCCCAGTTATTACCGTGTCTGTTCTGTTCATTTGTCCTTGCAGAGGCAGAATGAGACAATGAAAGTCTGCTTCAGATCTTCATCCTGAAACCACTATTTATTTTTACCACATTCTTTATTTCTTTTTTCTTTATCTGGCTTAGTTAAATACTAGCATATTAGCAGAGTGGAGCAGGTTGCCATCTCCTCACAAACCAATTACCTATGCATCTCTATCAAATTTCCTTATAGGTAATGACGTAGAGCAATAAGATTAGTGTCTAATCTATTCAAACATCAAAGCACAGCTCATACACCTACTGGAAATGGAAGTTTACTATCACATGTCCTCACTTTTGATTTGGGACCAGGATGCTGGAAGCAGGCAAAGCAGTGGGCTTTTTTTAGTTTATTTTTTTCCTGCATTGCAGTGAAAAATTTCACTGAACTGGGAGTGCGTTTTTGTTAAGTGATCTAATTCTTACAAACTCTACATATATATCTTCATTCTGGCTAAAACACCATTAAATGGTGGACTACATGTATCCAAGGGGTTGAGTCTATTTTTTCTCTTTATTTGGTTGTTTGTGAGGTTTTTTTTTCCCTTGGAGAGAAGGTAGATGTGTTTGAGTACTTCATATTCAGGACTATTTCTTACTCTTCATTTTAACAGGTACAATAAATTCATGCAGATCTCAGAACGTCCATGGAACTGATTTGAAAATGTTGAAAGGAAAGTGGTTTTGCTGAACATTCTGGGTTTGGCAAGAATTCTTCCTCTGTATAACAAAACTGTGGACATTTTTAGCTGATGTGTAGCTACTTCTTTTTTTCCAAGTAACTTCATTTTTTTTTTTTTTTTTTTTTTGGTCAGGTTGTATGCAGACAAAAAAGTACAAGAGCCATCGAGGTTGAAAGAGTGCTCTTAGTACTATAATATCATACTGTCATGACTCTGTAAATTATTATCAGCAGTGCAAAAGCCTGAACAAGATAGTTACTAAGTGCTTCCCTGGAAATTCTTTGATTTTATAGGAGATGTAAATGTGTGTAGCTGGCATGAAATTCAGCTAGAACTAATGCAAAGGCTAGTTGTCTTTTCAAGTGGTATCTCAAAAGCTTCCACACTATGAGAGGTGTACTTTCTAAAGCAGTAGAGCAGTAAAAACCAGAAACAGTCGTAATTTCTGTCTGCAAATTACACTGAACTATCTATAAACAAACTCTACACTGAGTGATTATGTTCAAGTCCCATAAAATAAATACAAGGTAGAATTAGATGTGGACATTCAGTGGTTTTGGCCACAAACTCTTCTCCTTCATTTGAGTTATGGAAAAATGTCCTGGGAGAAGTGTTCCTAAGCTTAACAGGCTTGCAGGTGATGCCAGAAGGCTGCAAGAAGATCTGTAAATAACCCTGTATATGTACCAATATACTTGTCCTGAGGATATTATAGGAATAGGAGCAGAACATGAAAATGGAAGAAGGGAGAGCAAAATCCTTGCCTTCTCAGAAGATTCCCATCTGGGAATTTCAGTGAAGGGTGGAAGTTTCCTAGGTTGCTGGAGTATTATTTATTGTTTGTGTGTGTATGTGATAATGTATATAGATGTCATGATGTACATGTTTATCATGATTATGTTATATATATAGATATATGTGTTTACGTCATAAACTACAAGTTGGTTCAGAAGCTAAAGTAATAATAGCAAGGGCTTTTTCTGTTAGAGCTGTCTGAACTGTCCTAGATGACCAGACAAGTGATTCTTTCAGAATGAAAACTCCCTGGAATATGTGTGTGTTTGGTTGGTTGGTTGGTTTTTTGCCTTGAAAAGTGGTGAGAAGGTGATCCCCCTCTTGTTCCCTGTTGTCCAATATGCTCATATATTGGGTGAAAACATATAATGGAAAACTATTTGAACAAGTATCTTTCAGTGATGTTAGTGTATAGTTATCAATGGAGCTCTGGCTTAGGAATGAGGAAAGGAAATTAAAGGGGCAGGATAGGGGCACTGAAGAAAATATTTTAAAGTCTCTCAAGAAATTGAGTGTTTTGAGAACTGATGATTATACTATGCTAAGTGTGCCCTTCCCACCAGTGTGCTTAGCAGGTCCAGAGAAGGGTAGCGAGGCTGGTGAGAGGGCTGGAAAACATGCCTCATGAGGAGTGGCTGAGGGAACTGGGGTTGTTTAGTGTAGAGGAGAGGAGACTGAAAGGAGACCTTATTGCTCTCTACAACTACCTGAAAGGAGATTGGAGTGAGGCTGGTGCTAGTCTCTTCTCCCAAATTAGTAATGATAGCACAAGGAGAAATAGCCTCAAGTTGTACCAGGGGAGGTTTCAGTTGGATATTAAGAAGAATTTCTTGACTAAGAGAGTGGTTAGGCACTGGAACGGGCTGCCCAGAGAGGTGGTGGAGTCATCATCCCTGGAGGTGTTAAAAAAATGAGTAGATGTAGCACATGAGGCTGCGGACTAGTGGTTAGAGAATGTTGGGATGGTGGTTGGACTTGATGATCCTAGAGGTCCTTTCCAACCATAGAGATTCTATTATTAGATTTAAAGTATTTAGTTTTCTTTTTGATTTTTCTCTCCCATTTTCTTTCAGCTGGAGCAAATAAGGAAAACAGAACACCTGTGACTAGTTCATCAATATCAATTACGTACATATGGCATAAATCTAACTCAGTGTGATTCTTGTGGAAATAGTTGCTTGAGAATTTACTTTATAATGATGACAATCAAAAGCAAATTTACATTCAACTTTCATTTTGCTTTCTACTTTTCATTTATCATAGAAACGTTTAGACTGGAAAAGACGTGTAAGATCATGGAGTCCAAACATTAACCTAACGCTGCCAAGGCCACCATCAAACCATGTCCTTCATCTCCACATCTTTTAGTTACCTCCAGGGAGGTATTTATTGTTAATAATGTAACAACTAGAAATTAAAATTGGAAGAGTGACTTGCCATTACTATGTTAGCCTCTTGAAGGGAAATTGTGAAAGAAAAGCATACTTGTTTCAGGAGCAGATGCAGTCCTGATATGCACAAGGACAGAGTATTGTGCTGTGTTTTGGAAAGTTTGTGACAGGATGAGACATGCTCCCTTGAACGTACACCATAGGATGGCAGCACATTCTGCTGTGCAATTTGAGCCATCAGGATTTTGTCACATTGAGGAGAGACAGTTTGGCCCTGTTGAAAGACAGGAAGAAGCTCCCAATCTGCATTTAAGTCACATAGTTCCTAGTTGACCTGAGGTAGCAGGTTTTAAGAAAGCTTTATCACTATATGAAAAGTTAAAGCTATGCTGACTGTTATCTGTATACATGTCATTTTTTTAAAGGGCTGTCAAAAGGTAAGGATACACATGACTGCAGAGATGCTCCTTTTGAAGAAAAAGAGCTGAAATGTAAGTATAAATGATAGAGGCGAAAACAGTAGCAAACTGCGCACAGCATAAATCATCTGTTGTCATCAGAGCCTTGATTCATAGCTGGTTTATTTAGTCCTTTGTTTCAACAGATAGAACCTTCATTCTGTCTCAGAAACTCACTGTCATAACTCATTGTGTACTGGGGCTTATATCAAGAAATTAATCTCTTTTTAAAAATAAACTGGAAAGCCATGCAAAGGAAGATGTGATGCAGAG